AAAAAAAAAAAAAAAAAAATTAAAAACAGATATTCTCCCCAGTGTAGGAGATCAGTGTCAGATCTCCAAGGGCGGCAAAAAAAAAAAAAAAAAAAATTAAAAACAGATATTCTCCCCAGTGTAGGAGATCAGTGTCAGATCTCCAAGGGCGGCACTGAAGGAAATGAGCCTGGACACCCTCCCAAGGTTAAAGTGACTAGCCCACTCCCAGGCTTCTTTTAGGTACCCCTTCCTGATCTCTAACCTTAATTATGGGGGGGAGAGGAGAATAGTTGAAAACACAGCTGGTCTAGGAGATTCATTCCGTTTCATGGAACACCTCTGTGCAGGCTGTGTCCAGGAACAGCCGTAGACCACACAGTCAGGCTACCCAGCGTGTGGGCCCAGCAGCCAGGCTGGAACTCTATCTCCACTTACCTGCTGAGTGGCTGGCAGGAAGTTACTCAGCCTCTCGGTGAGCAACCCAAACTCTGTGTGTTAGTTGTTTGTTCATTGATAAAATTAGGCTTCTCATCATTCTCATCAACTTCATGCGCTTGCTGTGAGGAACACATGAGCTGATGCCATCACAGCCTCCTCAGTAGGCAGCAGTAGGTGTTTAGGGAGCTGGCTATGGAGGCTGCCCCGCTCACTGCTTCCTTTCTAGGGGAGGCCAACTTCACATGCGTGCACACACACAAACAGGGTGGCCTGATGCAGACCAGCTGGTCTAGAAAGGCCTTCACGGCCTCAGGGAGCCTGGGAGGCGGCTTGGGGGAGACCATGAAACGCAGATAGACCAGAGACCCAGAGATCAGAGAGACCAAAGGACCCAGAGATCCAGAGACATCCAGACACCAGAGGCAACAAGAAAGTGAGAAGCTCAGAGGCCCATTGAGACCCAGGCAGCTTGTTCTGTGTTACGAGGGGAAAAATAAAATAAAAAACAAAAGAAACAAAAGAGAGACCCAGGGAGCCTCACTGAAACCTAGAGACTCAGGGAGGCCAATAGATTCAGGGACACCCATAGAGAGCCAGAGACCCTGCCGCAGCAAGGCACAATCAGTGAATCAAAACTCGCTCACCAGGCCCTCGCAGTCCAGGCCTCATTTCCCGGCTCAGCACCTTGGCGCTGCGTTTATCAAGAGGGGAACAGGAATCCTAGCTCCCTGCCCGTCCTATGGGGTCTCAGGCCCTGGGGTCCAGCTGGCCTGCCTTCACGTCTCTTATAGTTGATGAAGCTTTGGAGAGGCTTTCACCCTGGGGAGCCACAGCTGGGCGCCGACTGGGCTCACAGGCGGAGAGGCAGGCGGTGAAGGCCAAGCCCCGCCCCCCAGGAAGGCCCTGATTGGTGGACGGGCTGCTCTGGGCAGGGCCGCCCTCAGGCTATATAAGCCCCGCTCGCTGTCTACACGTGCGTTCTGCTCTGGGCAATTCCTGAGCTCGGGTAAGGCTCTCTGGAGGAGGAGGCTGGGCTGCTTGTGCGCGCCGAGGTGGAGCTTGGCCCCGGGGTGGTCGACCGCACGTTCTCCTCAGCCCCGTGGTTGGCGTCACTCTCTCGGGGATGAGGGTGGGTTTAGGACAGGAGCTTGAAATGTTTGAAGTGGCCCCATCAGCTTGCTCTAAATTCAGGTATTTCTCTAATTTCGTTCATCCCTGAGGGCCTCAGTTTCCCCTGGGTGTAAGGGATCAGTGGCCCTTTCAACTCTGCTTTGGTGAGGGGTCGGGGGTGGTTGTGAGTTGGGGCCTGGAGGAGCAGTTAAGCTCTGGGTTTTTTGTCTTTTTTTGCCAGGCGCAATGGCTCACGCCTGCAATCCCAGCACTTTGGGAGGTCAGGAGTGTGAGACCAGCCTGGCCAACACGGTGAAACCCCGTTTCTACCAAAAAATACAAAAAATTAGCCGGGCGTGGTGGCGCATGCCTGTAATTCCAGCTACTCGGGAGGCTGAGGCTGGAGAATCACTTGAACCCGGGAGGCGGAGGTTGCAGTGAGCCGAGATCGCGCCACTGCACTCCAGCCTTGGCGACAGAGAGACTCTGTCTCAAAACACACAAACAAACAAACGAAACCCGAAAAACCTCTTGGGGTTTTGGAGACCAAAGACTTCACTTTTAACTGGCTGTGAGGTTTTCAGTTTCCTCGTTTAAAAATGGGTCGAGTTAATCTTACCTCTTTACCAGAATGGAATAAGATAAGGCCCTTAAGCACAGCTCCAGGCACTTAGGAAGCCCTCAGCCGTGCTTGTTGCTGCTGTTACTCTGGCCTGTCCTGGGGTGCCAGGAGGAGGGCGGGGGTGCCGCAGCCCATAGCAACTCTTTGCTTCTTTTCTGACCTCCCCACTCCTCTTGCATCCCAACTGCCTTCTATTCTGAGCCCCCAAGTCTCTGCACCCACCCCTCCGCCGTCCTGGCCCCTGTCACCACCCTCTTGATTTGTGGGCGTCATGGGGGTACATGCTAAGTCCTGAGCCTCCTTTCTCTACAGGTCAACCTGCCCCATCTCCATCTCTTATGAGATGAGTGACTCCCAAGACCCCACCACTTCCCCTGTAGTTACCACCCAGGTAGAGCTGGGGGGCTGCAGCCGGCAAGATGGGGGCAATGGGTTCCTCCGTTTTCGCCAGCACCAGGAGGTCCAGGCCTTCCTCAGCCTTCTGGGTGAGTTTGGAGGGCTGGCACGGGAGGGACTGTGAGGCCAAGTGTGAAAGCAGACGTGAAGTGTGAGGTCTCACCTTCCTGTACAGACATCTGAGGCCTCTGACCCTCACCCTCTCAAGGTAACCCAGCTTAGGCAGGTAGGAGGGGAGTCCTCTCAGAAACTGGGTTCAGGGCCAGGCGCCGTGACTCATACCTATAATCCCAACACTTTGGGAGGCTGAGATGGGAGGATTACTTGAGACCAAGAGTTCAAGACCAGCCTGGTCAACATAGTGAGACCTCATCTCTATTTACATTAAGAAAGAGAGAGAGAAAGAAGAGAGAGAGAGAGAGAGAGAGAGAGAGGGTTCAGTGGCGGCTTGGGCTTTGGAGCTTCTGATGCCACTCTTCTCCATGGAGGCGGTGGTAACCTGCGTCCTGTCTTCTCTACCCTCAGAGGACAGTTTTGTCCAGGAATTCCTCTCCAAAGACCCCTGCTTCCAGATTTCAGATAAGGTGAGAGAGCACAGGCTGGGGGTCTCTTGAGGTTCAGGTTGAGTTGGTGGGAATTGAGTGCCGCTGCTTTATTGGGTGCCCTGGTCTGGTAGGGAGAGCCACTCCCCTTCCACCCTTACCAGTTCATCTTTGCATACCCCTTCCCACCATTTTACTGACTTTCTTTCCCTGCAGCACAACCTCCTTGGGTGCAAATGAACCTGGGTGCAAGCCCCTCCTCCTCAGAGGGTAACTAACCCCCCGACCCTGATCTGTCTCTGCAGTATCTCCTGGCCATGGTGCTGGTCTACTTCCAGCGCGCCCACCTGAAGCTCAGCGAGTACACCCACAGCAGCCTGTTCCTGGCCCTGTGAGTGGCGGGGGCAGGCAGTGGAGGCATTTGCTGGAGGTGTCGGATGGGACGGGGCAGATGTGTGACCTCTGCTCCCTGACCCTGTGCCTCTGTGGCTAGGTACCTTGCAAACGACATGGAGGAGGACCTGGAGGGGCCCAAATGTGAGATTTTTCCATGGGCCTTGGGAAAAGATTGGTGTTTACGAGTGGGGAAATTCCTGCACCAGAGGGATAAGCTTTGGGCACGGATGGGTTTCCGGGCTGTTGTGAGCCGCCAGTGCTGTGAGGAGGTGAGGTTGTGGAGGCAGCCTGGGGTGTGGGGAAGGCTGGGGTTCCCACCCCATTTACTGTCCACTCTGCTCCTCCCAGGTCATGGCAAAGGAGCCATTCCACTGGGCTTGGACTCGGGACCGGCGCCCCCACCATGGTGGGGTTCAGAGGGTCTGTCCACAGGTCCCTGTTCATCTTCCCCGGGGTCCTGGCCTCTCGCCGCCCCACTGTTCCCCCTGTGGCTTGCCCCAGCACTGCAGCCGCCAGCAGCTTAAGCCTGTGTCATCCAAGTGCCCTTCTCTGACCTCGGAGTGTCATCGTCCTCCTTCCCAAAATTATCTCTCAAGGGTCAAAAACGCCTGGGGTGGGGACTTTCTCATCGTCTTGCCCCCGCAGATGCAACTGGAACCAGGCACCTACTCCCTCCGCAGTGAGTGCAGGATGGGACAGCAGCTGCAGGGCTGGTGTGGGAGCTTGGGAGGCAGGAGTGAGGACCAACAGTATGAGAGGGAGTGCTGTGGGCCTGGAATCGACGTGCTGCCCTTCCTGTGTGAGCTCGGCAGGTTTCCTCTCTGAGCCTCACTCTTTCCTCTCCGCAGTCTTCCCAAAGCCTCCGGCACGCCCGGGGCACTGAAGCCCTGCAGGGTGAAGAACAGCACGCCTGCTGGCCCGCTGACTGACACACCACTGGCTGTGCCCCCACCCCTGCCCCTTCCTCCCAGCCCGCAGCTTGTGCCCACTCTGGTCCTGGTCTCCTCTAATAAATTCATGTCCACAGGACACCAACTGTGCTTAGGTCCTGGCCTGGTTCCTTGACCCAGGGTTGGGGTAGGGAGGAGGTGTCTACCAGGGTTACACCATGTGAGCACAGGCTGTGTAACAGCTCGGCCCCTTCCCATTGGTGGCCAGTTATTCTGAGCCTCAGTTTCCTCTCTGTGCTGTCCATACCTATGGATGATGAGATCTACACAGTCTAGATGGGATTAAGTGAGATGAGGTATCTGCAGCCCTTAGAAGAGGGCCAGGGAGCCGAGCCTGGTGGCTCACACCTGTAATCCCAGCACTTTGGGAGGCTGAGCTGGGTGGATCACTTGAGGTCAGGAGTTCAAAACCAGCCTGGCCAACATGGTGAAATCCCTTCTCTACTAAAAATACAGAAATTAGCGAGACATGGTGGTGGGTGCCTGTAGTCCCAGCTACTCGGGACACCAAGGTGGAAGAATTGCTTGAACTGGGGAGGCAGAGGTTACAGCAAGTTGAGATCACGCCGCTGAGCTTCAGTCTGGTGACAGAGTGAGGCTCTGTCTCAAAAAAAAAAAAAAAAAAAAGGAAAAAGGGGGGGCTGGGGCCAGGAACATATTGGGAAACAAAATTTGAATGAAAAACAGCTCTTTATTTAGTCTAGAAATGCCTTCAGGGCCAGGTTTACTTAGCAATAAGACTTGATCACTTCCTTGAGCTGCAATCAAATATAATATTGTAATTATAATAACCCCCTCTCCCCCAAGAGACATGGGGACTCAAAAGGGTTAATTTCTTTCTTTCTTTTTTTGTTTTTTTGAGACTGAGTCTCGCTCTGTCGCCCAGGCTGGAGTGCAGTGGCGGGATCTCGGCTTGCTGTAACCTCTGCCTCCTGGGTTCAAGTGATTCTCCTGCCTCAGCCTCCTGAGTAGCTGGGATTATAGGTGACCACCACTGTACCTGGCTAATTTTTTTGTATTTTTAGTAGAGATGGGGTTTTACCATGTTGGCCAGGCTGGTCTTGAACTCCTGACCTCATGATCCACCCATCTCGGCCTCCCAAAGTGCTGGGATTACAGGCGTGAGCCACCATGCACAGCCCAAAAAGGGTTAATTTCTTAGTGGAGGAGATAGGAAGGCTTCCCAGAGGAGATGGCAATTGGACTGCACCTGGATATTCATGGAAGGACAGTCTAGAGTAGTGATTATGGCTTGGTCTTTGGAGCCAGCTTTTTAAATTCAAATTCCAGGTCTCTGGGTTAGCTTGGCATGTTATTTAATCTCCCTGTGCCCTCATTGACTCATCTGTAAAATGGGTTATTCTGAGATGTGAATGGGTTAATCCCATGGAAGGGTTTAGAACAATGTCTGGCATGAACAAGTGTGAACCCTGGGTGTTCCAGTGGAGGAAACTGCCTAGAGAAAGGCTGGTGAGGAGGGTGTTTAGGGGGTGAAGATGGAGAAGGGTAGCAGAGAATAGACAGAGTTAAGAAAGCCTGGAGACTGAGGACATTAGAAGCCAACACAAGGACTAAAAAGTATTTTTAATATGTTTTTCCAATAGATAATATATTCACATATGTATATTTTAAACCAAGAGCCACCCTCCTACCCCTGACTTCAGCTCCCTGGTTCTCTGCCCTGAAATCAACGAAAGCAATGTTTCTCCTGTCTTTCCAGAGAAAGAGTCTAAACTTATAGAAGCCCATGTGGTATAATAAAAATTTTTAAAAATATATAGATGGCTGGGTGTGGTGGCTTACACCTGTAATCCCAGAACTTTGGGAGGCCAAGATGGGAGGATCACTGGAGCCTAGGAGTTCAAGACCAGCCTGGGCAACATAGTGAGACCTCATCTGTGCCAAAAAATTTAAAAATTAGCTGGGTGTGGTGGTGTGTGCCTGTAGTCTCAGCTACTTGGGAGGCTGGGGTGGGAGAATCACTTGACTCCAGGAGTTGGAGGCTGCAGTGAGCTATGATCGCACCAGGGCGCTCCAGCATGGGCGACGGAGCAAGAGCCAGTCTCAAAATACATATGTATGTCTATTTGGTTCCTGACAGAGCTCCTGAAACCCTTGTAATTTTCTTTTTTTCTCGCTCTGTTGCCCAGGCTGGAGTGCAGCGGCACGATCTCGGCTCACTGCAAGCTCCGCCTCCCGGGTTCACGCCATTCTCCTGCCTCAGCCTCCCGCGAGTCAGCTGGACTACAGGCGCGCCACCTCGCGTCCAGCTCTCTTAAGTTTTTTGTTTTCTCTGTTTTGTTTGCTGTTTTTGTGTTTTGAGACGTGGAGTCTGGCTCTGTCGGCCCGCGCGGGCTGGAGTGCAGGGCTTCGATGCTCAGCTCACTGCAATGCTCCGCCTCCCGCGGGTTCAATCGCCTTCTTCCTGCTCAGCCTCCGAGTAGCTGGCACTTACAGGCGCCCGCCGCCTGTCGCCCCGGCTAGTTATTGGGTTTGTCATTTTTAGTAGAGACTGGGGGTTGCACCGTGTTTCGCCAGGGATGGTCGGTCGATCTCCCTGACCTCGCCTGAATGTTGTCCTGCCCGTTCTCATGGCCTGTCCCGAGGTGCTGGAAGTTAAGGGCTTGAGGCCCACGGCGGGACTGCCGGCAGTTTTTTGTATTTTTAATAGACGGATGGGCTCTCTCTGTGTGATAGGCCGATGGTCTCCATCCCTGACCTTGTGATCCGCTGCACGGACGGCCGGCGAGCCTCACCAAACCAGTGCTGGACTTACAGGCGTGAGCCACTGCACCTGCCCTTTTAAACCTTGTAATTTTCTAAAGGATAGAAGTGTGCTTTTATTGCATAGCACCCCTCCCATACCTCTATTAATTCCGTAATGTTAGAGATGTTATTAGCGTCCGGCTGCGGGCGCGCAGTGTGCTCAAGCCGGTGCTCATGCTCGCGACGCACTCTTGGCTGGAGGCCGGAGGCGGGTAGGATCAGCGGGTCAGGATAGGATCGATGAGCGGTATCCCTGGGGGCAATGAACACCTGGCTGATAACTCCTCACAGCATCCTTACTAAAATACAAAACACTAAGGCCGGGCGTTTGGTGGTGGGCGCAGGCCTCGCTAGTCTCGACGCCACTTGGGAGGACTGACGGCGGTGAATGGCGTGAGACCCGCGGGAGGCGGGGCTGCAGTGAGCCGAAGAATCAGGCCACTGACTCCAGGCCTGGGAGCACAGGCGGAGGATCCGTCTTCAACAAATACATATAAAATAGGAAATACATAAAAAAAAATTATTTACACCTTGTCAGCTTATGCGCTAATGAAGCGGACCAGAGACCCATTGTGGGCTCGGGGGGACTAAAGATTGGGTTATAAAAACGGGTGGATGTGCTGGGAGGGTAGAGAGGGCCTGGAAGCTCTGTGTACCATACCCCCAGTGCCTTGCCCTATGCATCTCTTCCATCTGGCTGTTTTGGAATTGTTTCCTTTATAATAAACAGGTAATATCCTAGGAAGTGAGGCACTTTCCTGAGTTCTGGGAGTTGTCTACTGCATTATCAAACCTGAGGAGGTGCTGGGGGAACCTCTGAATTTGTAGTTCGCCAGAGAGAAGCATTCCCTGGGTACCCCATTTGTGGCTGGTATCTGAAGTGGGGGCAGCCTTCGGGTACTGAAGCCTTAATCTGTGGGGTCTGTGCTAACTCCAGAAGTAAGTGTCAGAATGGAATTGAATTGTTCAACACCCCATTGGTATTGGAAAATTGGTGTGGAAAAATGTATTTCGTGAAAAAAAGACAACACACTGATATGTATGTATTTCCCACACCGTTTTTATTAAATGCCAGAATTCTCTGCATCCTGTTGTGCACTTATGAATGCATTATGAAGTTTTTTTGTTTTTTTTTTTTTGAGAAAGTCTTGCTCTGTTACCCAGGATGGAGTGCAGTGGTGCGATCTTGGCTCACGCAACTTCCACTTCCTGGGGTCAAGCAATTCTCCTGCCTCAGCCTCCCGGGTAGCTGGGATTATAGGCACGCACTACCATGCCCTGCTAATTTTTGTATTTTTAGTAGAGACAGGGTTTTGCCATGTTGACCAGGCTGGTCTCGAACTCCTGACCTCAGGTGATCTACCTGCCTCAGCCTCCCAAAGTGCTGGGATTACAGGCATGAGACACTGCACTGGCTATTTTTTTTTTTTCCTTTTTGTGAGACAGCATTTTGCTCTGTTGCCTAGGATGGAATGCAGTGGCACAATCTCGGCTCACGGCAGCCTCTGCTTTCAGAGTTCAAGCGATTCTCCTGCCTCAGCCTCCCAAGTAGCTGGGATTGCAGCCATCTGCCACCAAGCCTGGCTAACACCTCCCCAAGTGCGTGGGTGGATTAACAGGTGTGGAGCGGCCATGCTGCGCCGTTAGGCATTCTTTTTTTTTTTTTTTTTTTTGAGATGGGTCTCACTTTGTCCCACGCGTGTTGTAGTGGCTGCGGATCTTGGCTGCCTGCGAGCCTCGACCCTCCGGCGGATCAGAAAGGACATCCGGGGCTTCGGGCCGCCTCAAGGGGCCGCGCAGACCAAATAGCTAGCGACGACAGACATGTGG